ATGTAGGTTATAAATTTGTTAATAATTTTTTATAAATAGTAATCATTTTATCTTATTGAAAACATATTTGGGTTTAAGCTTACCAAAGCAGATGTTTTGAAAATTAGGCAATGATGTATTTCATGTAAATGATAATTGACTGATTTGTCCATTTTTGTGATTTATTTCACAGTTTATAAAATATTTTACATTTCTCAGTTAATTTAATTTTTTCAAATAACCCTATGAGTGGGATTAATTTATTTTACATATAAAAAAAACAAGTTCTGAATGCCCAAACTAACTAGGTTTAGTAATATAACTTTGGGTTTTAGGCCAGTGGCTTTCAAAACACCATTCACTTCATATTAGTACACAATATATACTCAATAAATATTTGTTTCAAGGAATATTATTTAAGGCTAAGTACAGTCTTATAGAATATGAGTATGTATGGCATAAAATTATGTTTGATGAGTGAATATCATCAGATTAAATCTATGTAGAAATAATTATGTAGACTATGATTCTTAAAACAGAAAATGTAGAATTATCTAAGACTTTATCTGTATACAAATTTTATGTTCTGCATGACATGCCTTTCAAAACATATTTGAAGGTTTCAGATAGAGGTCCTCTCTGGACCCAAAAATCTCTCTAGATCTTTTCACTTCTAATATTGAGAATGTGCTATTGAGTTGATGGGTAGCATTCTTATGTGTATGGTTAATAAATTCATGGATTTTCTAAGAAAAAAAGAAAGAAAAAGAATATCTGGACAGATCAATTACAACTAATGAAATCAAAGCAGTAATAATAAAAAACACTCCCAACGAACAAAAGTTCTGGACCCAATGGCTTCACAGATGAATTGCAGCAAACATTCAAATAAAGATAACACATGCCTTCTCAAACTATTCCAAAAAATTCAAGAGGAAGGAAGACTCCCAAGCTCATTTTAAAAGGCCAGCATTATCCTAACTCCTAAACCAGATAAAGATATTACAAAGAAAGTAAATTATGAGCCAATATCCCTGATAAATATAGATGCAAAAATATTCAACAAAATATTAGCAAACCAAATTCAGCAATTAAAAGATCATACACAATGATCAAGTAGAATTTATTCCTGGGATGCAAGGTTGGTACGCTATATGCAAATCAATTAATGTGATAAACCAAATAAATAAAATGAAGGATAAAAATCATATGATAATACCAACAGATGCAGAGAAAGCATTTTATAAAATCTAGCACCCATTTAGGACAAAAACTCTCAGCAAAAGTGGGAATATAAGGAACATGCCTCAACATAATAAAGGTCATATATGACAAACCCATAACTAACATCATATTCAATGGGCAAAAACTAAAAGCATTTCCCTTAAGATCAGGAATATTACAGGGATTCCACTTTCTTTTTTAAGAAATTAAATATATTTTTATTTATTTCAGGGAGGAAGGGAGAGGGAGAGAGAGAGAGAGACAGAAACATCAATGATGAGTGAGAGTCAGCTATTGGCTGCCTCCTGCAAGCCCCATACCAGGATCGAGCTTATAACCAAGGTATGTGTCCTGACCAGGAATCGAACCATGACCTCCTTGTTCATGGGTTGATGCTCAATCACTGAGCCACACCGGCCAGGTGGGATGTCCTCTTTCATCACTCTTATTCAACATTAGAGGCCCGGTGCATGAATTCGTGCACGGGTGAGGTCCTTAGGCCTGGCCGGAGATCAAGGCCTATTGGGGCCATCTTGCCCAGTTCCGACTGGGGCCTGGCCAGCCAGGAGTGGCCTGCTGGCTGCTGGATGGGGGGAGGGACCACAGGAGGTTTGCCGGCTGCAGGGAGGGACTGGGGGAGGTTGGCTGGTCATGGGAGGTTGGTTGTGGGAGTGCACTGACCATCAGGGGGCAGCTCCTGCATTGAGCGTCTGCCCCCTGGTGGTCAGTGAGTGTCATAGCGATCAGTCGTTTGGTTGTAATGGTCGCTTAGGCTTTTATATATATAGACTAGAGGCCTGATGCACGAAAATTCATGCAAGAGTACGCCTTCTTTCCCCAGGCTGCTGGCACTAGCTTCCCTCTGGCACCCGGGACCCAAGCTTCCCTTCTCCAGCTGCCTGCAGGCACCCAGGACCCAGGCTGGCTTCTCCCGGGCCGCCAGCAGGCACCTGGGACCCGGGCTTTCCTCCCACCAGCCAGCCGCAGGCACCCAGGACCCGAGCTTCCCTCCCTCAGGCTGGCTGAAGGCACCCGGGATCACAGGAAGTTTCCCCCAGGCCAGCCCAGGCACCTAGGACCGCGGGCGGCTTCCCCTGGGGCTGGTCCCTGGCTTTGTCAGGAAGGACATCCAGAATGATGTCTGGTCTAATTAGCATATTACCCTTTTATTAGTATAGATAGTACTTGAAAGTCCTAAACACAGTAAGGAGACAAGAAGAAGAAATAAAAGGCATTCAAATTAGAAAGGCAAAAGTAAAACTGCCATTATTTGTAGATGACATGATACTGTATGTATAAAATCCTAAAGATTCCACCATAACACTACTAGAACTGATAAATGAATTTAGTAAAGTAGGAGGATACAAAATAAATATCCAGAAATTGGTTGCATTTTTATATACCAATAATAAACTGTCAGAAATGGTAACTAAAGATAGGAACAAGATGGCAACATAGGGACTCGCTGGTATTCGCGACCTCCCACAACCACATCAAAATTACAACTAAAATACAGAACAACCAACATTCAGAACCACATGAAAGCTGCCTGCATGGAAGTCCCACAACTGGAGAAGTAAAGAAAAAAACACGTTGAGACTGGTAGGAGGGGTGGAGGTGCAGAATGGGCTGGTCTGGCACCCACGTGGGACTTTTTAATCCAAAGATTGTCCCTGTGGAGGCTGCTATGAGAAGCAAAGGGTCCCAGCCTCACACCAGACCCCCCACCCAGGGTCCCAGAGCTGAGAAGAGAAGTCCCATAACTTTGGATTGTACAAACCAGTATGGATTGTGGCTGAGGGACACAGAAGCTGCCAGAAACCAGGAGCCCCTTTTAAAGGGTTAGGCACAAACTTACTTGGACTCACTTCCTCTGAACTCCAGCACCAGGAGGCACTGGGGGACCCAGACATATATGGGAAGGAACTGAATTGTCTGGCATTGGGGCAAGAACTCGGGGGAGGCTTTCTACCAGACTGAGATACTCACAGGGGTCATTGTTCATATGCTGAGACCTTCCCTGTCCCAGGGATGACTGCCAACCATATCTGAATCCCCATCAACCTGAGCACACTGTTTGCTCTGCCCTGGTGATTCCCTGAGACCCCATCCCATCCAATTTGCAACCCCACCCAAGCTGTTTGCAGCAGCTTTTCCGTATGAATGGCCTGTCCTGGCTCAGGCTTCAGACTTTGCTAAAATCTCTCAAACAAGTTGCAGCTGGTGTCAGTGTGCTCCAAATCCTACATAATAAAAGGCCAGCCACCATAAGCATAACGACCAGAATGACCAGAGACCAGAACCACCACGGCCCCTCGCTGGGCTGGCCCCTCCCCCAAGAAAGCAGTTAGGGGCAATCAGGCAGGCAGGCAGAGTGGTTAGAGGTGATCAGGTAGGCAGGCCAGTGGTTAGGAGAGATCAGGTAGGCAGACGGCCCCTCGCCAGGCTGGCCCCGCCCCCAAGTAAGTGGTTAGGGGTGATCAGGCAGGCAGGAAGAGTGGTTAGGGGTGATCAGGTAGGCAGGCAAGTGGTTAGGGGTGAGCAGGTAGGCAGGTGAGTGGTTAGGGGCAATCAGGTAGGCAGATGGTCCCTTGCAGAGCTGGCCCCTTGCAGGGCTGGCCCCGCCCCCCAGCAAAGAAAGAGGGAGACCCAGGCCACTGGCAGCGACTCTCTGGCAGGTGTGCGGTTGGCCTGCAGAGGGAAGCCCAGGCCAGCCAAGCCATCACATCCCATGCCTGTCGCCTGCAGAGGGAGGCCACCAGTGGCAGGGGAGGGGGGGCAGCACTGCATAGATGGCAAGCAGTGGCAGCGGTGGGGGGTGGGGCCAGCTGCCTGCAGATGGGGGAAGGAAAGCTCCGATAGGCCCTGATCTCAGGCCAGGCCTAGGGACCCTACCCAAGGGGTCCCGGATTGTGAGAGGGTGCAGGCCAGGCTGAGGGACCACCCCCACCTGCCGAGTGCACGAATTTTTGTGCACCAGGCCTCTAGTCTATCAATAAAAAGTCCAAGACCTGGCACCAGCACCAGCCTGCCTTGTTTCACAGCTGGGCCTCACCTGGGCACTTCCAAACCCTATAAAAATAGGAGGAATCTGCAGATCTCTCTGTAGCTCCTGCCACGTGGTTGACTTTGCATCTCCCTGGAGACCCAAGAGCCAGTACACCCAGTGGACAGCTTCAAACCATACCAGGTTACAACTCTACACATCCACAAGTGACACACTCAAGGGCCAGACTCAGTGAGCTCCATAGCCCTACTGAAGCAAGTCCTGCCTCACAGGGTTGTTTCCTACACAGCAGCTCTCCCACTGTAGTCACAGCTGGTCCTCACAGCCAATTGGCCTGGTGGTCAATTCCTTCCAGTGACACCAACAGCAATCAAGTCTCAACTACAACAAAACTTCCACATAGTCCACAAAGGGGTGCACCTAGAGTACCCAGCTCAGGTGACTGTGGAGGCAAAGCCACTAGGCACTATAGGACACCTACTACACAAGACCACTCTACCAACTCCAGAAGACATAGAAGCTCTATCCAATACATAGAAAAAAATACAGGGAAGCAGCCAAAATGCATAGACAAAGAAGTATGTCACAAATTAAAGAAATGGAAGCAAGCAAACTACTGGATACAGAGTTCAAAACTATGGTTATAAGGTTACTCAAGAATCTTCATGATACCTTCAAGGGACTTAGTGAGACTTTCAAGGATCTTAGTGAGAATGCCAAAGACATGGAAAAGAACTAGTCAGAAATTAAGCATACACTAATATAAATAAACAATAATTTACAGGCATTCAATAGTAGAGTGGAGGATTCTGAGAATCAAATCAATGATTTGAAATACAAAGAAGCAAAAACCACCCAATCAGAAGAGCAAAAAGAAAAAAGAATTCAAAAATATGAAGATAGCATAAGGAGACTCTGGGACAACTTCAAGTGTACTAACATTTGTATTATGGGGATGCCAGAAAGAGATGAGAAAGATATTGAAAACTTATTTGAAGAAATAATGACAGAAAACTTATACCTGGTGAAAGAAATAGACTTATAAGCCCAGGAAGCACAGAGAGTCCCAAACAAGAGGAATAAAAAAAAACACACAAAAAACCAAAAAAACCCCACACCAAGACACATCAAAATTAAAATGCCAAGGGCTAAAGACAAAGAGAGAATCTTAAAAGCAGAAGAGAAAAAGCAATTAGCTACCTATAAGGGAGTACCCATACAACTGTCAGCTGATTTCTCAACAGAAACTATGCAGGCCAGAAGGGAGTGATAAATGTTCAAAGTGATGAGTAGCAAAAATTTACAACCAAGACTACTCTACCCAGCAAAGCTATCATTTAGAATTGAAGGTCAGGTAAGAGCTTCACAGACAAGAAAAAGCAAAAGGAGTCCATCACCACCAAATCAGTATTACATGAAATGTTGAGGGGTATTCTTTAAGAAGAGGAAGAAGAAGAAGAAGAAGAAGAAGAAGAAGAAGAAGAAGAAGAAGAAGAAGGAGAAGGAGAAGGAGAAGGAGAAGGAGAAGGAGAAGGAGAAGGAGAAGGAGAAGGAGAAGGAGAAGGAGAAGGAGAAGGAGAAGGAGAAGGAGAAGGAGAAGGAGAAGGAGAAGGAGAAGGAGAAGGAGAAGGAGAAGGAGAAGGAGAAGGAGAAGGAGAAGGAGAAGGAGAAGGAGAAGGAGAAGGAGAAGGAGAAGGAGAAGGAGAAGGAGAAGGAGAAGGAGAAGGAGAAGGAGAAGGAGAAGGAGAAGGAGAAGGAGAAGGAGAAGGAGAAGGAGAAGGAGAAGGAGAAGGAGAAGGAGAAGGAGAAGGAGAAGGAGAAGGAGAAGGAGAAGTATCAACAATTGAATCTAAAAATCAAAATAAATGAATTGGAAATCTAATAAACAGAATTAACTGGTGAATAAAATAGAATCAGAGGTATGGAAATGGAACAGACTGATGATTCTCAGAGGGAATGGGGTTGGGGGGGGAGAAAGAGATTAAACAAAGATCTGATATGCATATATGCACTACCTATGGACACAGACAATAGGGTGGCGAAGACCTGGGGAGGGATGGGAACCAGGTGGAGGAGGCCAATGCAGGGGGGACGGGGGCGGGGGAGGCACATCTGTAATACTCTCAACAATAAAGATTTTTTTAAAAAAGAAATGGAAGCTAAGAAAATAATTCAATTTCCAATTGCATAAAAAAATACTTAGGAATAAATTTAACCAAGAAGGTAACTGTACTCATTTTCCCAGCCAGGTGGCTCAGTTGGAGTGTTGTCCCATACACCAAAAGCTTTCAGGTTTAATCTCCAGTCAAGGCATGGACGGGAGGCAACTGATTTATATTTCTCTCTCACATCAATGTCTGTCTCTCATATTGGTGTTTTTATCTCAGGCTCTCTCCCCCTTCTCTATCTCTAAAATCAATAAACATATCCTTAGGTGAGGATTTTAAAAAAGGCCTGTACTCAGAATATTATAAGACACTGAAGAAAGAAATTGAAAAAATATAAATAAATGCAAGCATATATCGTGTTCATGGTTAAGAAGAATTAACATCATTAAAATGTTCATGTTACCCAAGGCAATCTATAGATCCAGCACAATTTCTATCAAAATACCAATGCCACCCAGGCCAGTATGGCTTAGTGGTTAGAGCATCAACTTGAGCACCAAAGAGCACGTACCTGGGTTGCAGGTTTGATTCCCTGGCCCCAGTTGGGGTGTGTGCAGGAGGCATCCAATCAATGTGTCTCTTTCACATTGATGTTTCTCTCCCTCTTTCTGCCTCCCTCCCTCCCTTCTTCCCTTCTACTCTCTCAAAACAAACAAATACTAATGGTGTATTTCACAGAACTGGAACAAGTAATCAAAAAATTTCTATGGAACCACAAAAGACCCCAACTAGCCTCAGCAATCTTGAGACAGAAGGACAAAAATTTGACATATCACACTACTTGATATCAAACTATACTACAAGGCTATAGTAATAAAAAACAGCATGGTATTGGCATAAAAATAGACATATAGTGCATCGGAACAGAATGGAGAGCCCAGAAATAAAACAACACATATATAGTCAATTAATATTTGAGAAAAGAGGCAAGAACATACAGTGGTAAAGACAGTCTATTCAATAAACGGTATTGGGAAAATTGGACAGAAAAATGAAACTAGAACACTTTTCTACCCCATATGCAAAAATAAACTCAAAATATATTAAAGACCTAAAGTAAGACTTGAAACTATAAAGCTCCTAGAATAAAACATAGGCAGTAAAACTTTTTGAGAGCTTAAAAGTGAGCCCTTTCACATCTCCGCACTTCCTACCAGTCTCTATGCAGTCTCCACTTTCTGTCCTTGGTTCTCTTCAGTTAGTCTTCATTAGATTTTTCAGGGTGGTTTTTCTATATTTTAGTTGTTTTTCCAGTTTGGTCCTGACACTCTCCCAGGACAGCAGCTGAAGGTCCGGAGTGATATCTCAGCTGTGGGGGGTTCCCACTGAGAACTCTGGGGTCTAAACCCCAAGCTGGGCTTCCCAGCAGAAAGCACCACAACTGAGAAAGGTGCCTACAGAACATCTGGCTGTGAAAAGCAGCAGGGTTGCTGTCTGACAGAGAAAGATGGCTAGAAATGCAGGCACCCTCTTAAAGGGCCAACACACAGAATTTCATGTGCAGCCACTCACCTTGTGCATTGGCAGAGGGAGGGCAGAGTCGACTGAGCTGTGTGAGGAGCGTCCAGGGTTGGGGATCTGGTGTTGGAGTTCAGAGGGCAGCCACCCTGGTTTCCTGTGAAGAGTCATTGCCTCCTGCTGCGGAGGACATCTTTATCCATGGACATTTGCTATCCAGGCAGTTTGGCCTTGGGGGGAAGACAGCTGCCCCACCCTGTTGGGAGACCTCTTGACCCACCCTAGGTCCATAGCCTGAGGCAAATCAAGACTGAGCGTCAAATGGACTGCAGGCAGAGGCGGATCTCTGGAGGTGTTGAGTCTTTGCCTGATCTCCTTCTGGGGCCAGGGTTAGGAAAAGCAGACCCCGGTGCATACCTTGGTCCTTTCCAAAGACAGAAAGCCCCAGAAGAAGGAGCCACAAGCTGTGGATTGCTGATTGCTCCAAACAGGGTACCCAGCGCCAGTCAGAAACAGCCGCTGACCTTGTCCAGCACTAGAGATTGGAAGTCATAGCAGATCTACCTAATAGATAGGCACAAACCCAAATAGGGAGCCAAAATGGGGAGACAAAAAGACAAACCCCAAGTGAAAGAATAAGAGAATTCCACAGAAGAAGAGCTAAACAAAATGGAGATAAGAAATTTATCAGATATAGAATACAGAATAATGACAGCAAAGATGATCAAAGTATGAGAAAAGGTATCTATACTAATAAAAGCCTAGGTGGCCCTCGTGCCCTCGTGTGATCCCTGACGTCATCACAAGATGGCCACCACAAGATGACCGCCACAAGATTTATACTAATAAAAGCCTAGGTGGCCTTCTCACCCTCGTGTGACGCCCTCACGTCATCACAAGATGGCCACCCCCACGTCATCACAAGATGGCCACCACCATGTCATCACAAGATGGCTGCCACAAGATAGCCAGCAGGGGATGCTGCCACAAGATAGCCGGCAGGGGATGGCAGTTGGGGGCCATCGGGCCAGCAGGGGAGCAGTTAGGCATCAATCGGGCCAGCTGGGGAGTGGTTAGGAGCGATCAGGCTGGCAGGCAGAAGTGGTTAGGAGCTAGCAGTTCCGAATTGTGAGAGGAATGTCCGACTGCTGGTTTAGGCCAGATCCTCGCAGGCCAGTTTGAGGGACCCCATCGGTGTACGATTAATGGAATAAGAGAATCACCATTTTGCAATCATCATGGTAACAGTTGGTTCAAGCCAAAGTCTTCAATGAATTCTAAAAACTAAAGGGTGAAGATTTGAAGACTAGGCTCTCTGCATAGTTCACAATATTTCCCTGTAAATTACACAATTACTTACAAAGGCAAAAAGACAACTTTACAATGGAAAAACCTGACAGACACCTTCTTACCATCTCCTAAAATGGGACAAAACCAACATGTGTCTCCCTACATGATGCGCTAAGAAAGACATAATGGCACTTCTGTGGTCTTCCTGCCAAAGCACATAATCTGTATCTCATCTTTAACAAATATCAGACAAACCCAAGTGAGGGACAAGTGACAAAATTATGGGCTTGGACTCTTCAAAAATGGCAATGTTGTGAAAAACAGAGAAAGGCTGAAGAAATCTTGTGGATTGAAGAGATTTATGAGACACGAAAGCTGAATGCAGTGAATAATCTGGAATTGGATTCTGGGTGGAGGGGAGGAAGAGAGTGGGGGAGGGGAAAACTAAAAGGGATATTGTTGGGTTAATTGATAAAATTTGAGTACCAGCTGTGGTTTAGCTAATGGCATTAGATGTCTTGATTTTAATCCTTCTATCATCGATATGTAAGAGAATATCTTTGGTATTAAGAAATGCAGCCTGAAGTCTTTAGGGATAAAGGAGCATGATGTTTACAGCTTATTCTTTTTTTTTTTTTTTAGGCGAGCCCGTCGGGGAACCGTGGCACCCGGGACCCACACGCACTCTCAGCGAGAAACTCGGGACGCTGAAGGTCTTCCTGGCATGTGGTGTCCTCCGTGCCAGCCACCAGGAGGCCACGGTCAGACCGCCGGGCCTGGGTGTGCGCCCACAGAGCCCTGGAAGATCTGCCTGGGTTTCGCTATTCCATCCCACATTGGATGCGTCTGCGCCTGCCAGGGTTCCCTAAGTCCCCTGTGGGACAAGCGGGGTGCAGCCGCACGACCTCCTTGCATCCCTTCCGAACGGAGGGGCTGGCATTTGCCCTGCACCCAGGGGAGATGGAGGCCCAGGGAGAAGGGCCGGGACCAGCTCGCGGGGCTCCACGCCCATGCTCCCCGCCGGGTGCTCACCAGAGGGCCCTCAGCCCCTGCTGCTATAACGCACAGCCTGCGGGACGCCCTGTCTGCCCGCGGGCCCTGGGGGCCTGCCCAGACGCTCCAGGGGGCCTGGGTGGCCGAGTGGCACCCACTTATGTACAACTTATTCTTAAGTGGTTTGGGGGGAAGGGAGGGAATGCATGTATGTGTATTATGTAAAAGTAGGTTTACAGTTGTTTGTATGGAAAATCTATATATATAAAAGCCTAAGTAACTGTTAGGACTGGATGACTAGCTGGTAGCTATGATGCACACTGACCACCAGGGGGCAGATGCTCAACACAGGAGCTGCCCCCTGGTGGTCAGTGTGCTCCAACAGCCAACCTCAGTGGTCCCTCCCCCCTGCCTGCTGGCCCCAATCTGCCTGATCGCCAGCCAGGCCGAGGGACCCCACCCGTGCATGAATTCGTGCGCCAGGCCTCTAGTCTATAATAATAAAAGCATAATATGCAAATCAACCGAAGGGCTGAGCAGCAGAATGACCATCCAGATGACCACACTATGACACGCACTGGCGCCAGGCTAGCCAAGGCAGGTGCGATGCGATTGGTCAGGGGGCCGCCATCGCCCCAAAGGAGGCCCAGGCCACCCTCTGCAGGGTGATCCATGCAAGGAGGTGGGGGGGTTCCATGATCGATTGCCCACAGAGGGAGGCCCAGGCCACCAGTTGGCGGTCAATAGATGGGGGTGGGGGGGCTCCAATTGCCCCAAAGAGGGAGGCCCAATCCATGAACATGGGGGGCGATAGATTGGGGGTGGGGCTCCACAGAACTGGGGAACCGGTTGTGTGTGGCAGTGGATGCGGGCTGCGCCAGGCCAAGGCGGGTGTGGGGCTGAGAAAGAAAACAGACCTGGGTTCAAATGATAGGCAGACCAAACTTGGGGTGAGAAGAGGTCTTCTGCTTGGCTACTGCCCAGCCTGCAGGTTGAGGTTGTCACCTCTGTTCAGGGAGCAGATGGAGTTGAGAGAGAGGTGGGCGGGAGAGGAGGCTTAGAGCTTTGCTACAGCAGTGCTGTGAGCACCCAACCCCAACCCAGGGGTGGAGATTGGAGCAGCCAGTGCAGACCTGAAGCCCTTTCCTCACTGAGAATGAATGAGGGTCCTCAGGACAGGGTCATTTTTATTTCTTACATTTCTTCAAGTCAATTCAATTGATTGAATTTTTTAAAAAAAAAAACTTAGCCTTTCCTAAGCTTTTATAGAAAAAAAAATCACCAGTGTGGTATGCTGGTTTTCTTTTGTTCTGATACACACTAAATAAAGCATAAATATTAGTGGAAAAATCACTCCTAGCCCTTCCTTGAATCACCTGGCTGTCTGGCGTGGGGGTGGGGTGGGACTTCAGGCAGCACAGGGTTACCCAGAATCCCTCATTATTGACATTGTTCTGCTCCTTAGGGCAAAGTCCTTAAGGGCATTCACACCAGGCCAGACCTGCTGGAGCCAGGCTCTGTTGTCAGGGGACAGGTGTGTCAGGGCAGGGCCCCTGTGTGTGCAAGAGATCTGGTAGAAAGTTCCACTGTGGCTGCTGTGAACCCCTACTATTCTCTGCCTCGTCTCATACCACCTAGCCTTAGTTCAGCTCCTGGAATTTCCCCAAACTCGTTCCCACTTGAGGCTTTCATGCAGGGTGTTCCTGGGTAACTTTCCTTCCACAGGGACCTCTGACCACTGAGGCCCTAAGGCATGCTTCTGTTCTATGCTCTAAAAGTACACTTTGCATTTACCTTGGGAGCGGGTGTCACAAGTGGCAGTCAGGCATTATGTGTAAGGTTATTTGTCTAATGTTCTTCTCCCTGGGAGACTGCCAGTCCTGTGAGGAAAGGGCTTGGGCAGGCTGCAGGGCAGGGGCCCCTCCCCAGGGCTCACAGCCAACTACCACTGCATCTCTTCCTTTCTCCTGCTTAGGGACAAAGCAGCTTCCTTCCATCACCTTCCCTCCCAACTTGGGTTTGGTTATTCCTGCCTCTAGACTTTGACTTTGACCTCTGTTGAATCCTCTGCCTTCTTGGAAAAACAGAGGAAAGCTGCCTTCCTCAAGGGCCACCCGAATTTTGTGCAGCCCCGAAGCTCTCTTTTTACTGCTCCCTTAGCACTTTGGGGCCTTGGGGCTCCTGTGGCTTCTCACCAAAATGGCAGTGGAGCACAGTGGTAAGGGCATTGACTGAGGAGCCGGGGCTCTGTGTTCAAATCAGAGCTGCACAGTTACCACCTGGGGGACCCCAGAGAAGTGATTTAACTTCTTGCATCGGCTCCTCCAAACACCTGGAGGCCTCATCAAAACACAGAGTGCTGGGTCCACACCAGAGTTTTCCATTCCTGCAGCCTGGAATGGGGCCTGAGAATTTGCCTTCCAAACAAGTGCCCAGGTGATGCTGTTGCTGCTGGTGCAGGGACTCCACTTTGAGAACCATTGTCATAGTTGCAATAGAAGGTACATGGAGATGAGTTAATATAAATCAGGTAGAATCATATGGCAGGAAGTAAGTGCTAACAACTGTTAGTTATTAATACCGCTTATACCAGAGGATCTGAGCTTCTTTATTTTTTCTTGTTTGTTTGTTTATTTATTTTAAGTGAACTTTAAATTATATTTTTCAATCACAATTTACATTCAATATTATTTTGTATTAGTCTCCGGTGTACAGCATAGTGGTTAGACAATCATATATATTACAAAGTGTTTCTGCCAATATTTCCAGAACCCACCTGGCACCATACATAGTTATTAAAATTTTTTTACAATTTTAATCATTTTTTATTTTCAATTGTAGTTGACATACATTAGTTGCAGCTGTACACCCAAGTGACCAGACATTACATAACTTAATAAGTGATCACCCCAATAAATCCTGCACACATACCTTCACCTTTTTCACCTAACCTCCCAACCCCCTCTAATCTGGCAACCAACAAAAAATTCTCTATGAGTCTGTTTCTGTTCTGCTTGTTCATTTTGTTTGTAGATTCAATTGCTGATAGATATGTATTTATTGCCATTTTGTTGTTCATATTTTTTATCTTCTTCTTAAAGAAGACCCTTCAGCATTTCATATAATACTGGTTTGGTGGTGATGAACTCGCTTAGCTTTTTCTTGTCTGTGAAGCTCTTTATATGTCCACCAGTTCTAAATGATAGCTTTGCTGGATAGAGTAATCTTGGTTGTAGGTCCTTGCTTTTCATCACTTTGAATATTTCTTGCCACTCCCTTCTAGCCTACAAAGTGCCGTTTGAGAAATTAGCTGACGGTCTTATGGGAGCTCACTTGCATGTAACTAACTGCTTTTCTCTTGCTGTTGTTAAGATTCTCTCTTTGTCTTTATCCTTTTGCCTTTTGATTATGATGTGTTTTGGTGTGGGCCTCTTTGGGTTCATCTTGTTTGAGACTCTCTGTGCTTCCTGGACTTGTATAGGGTGTCCCAAAATTCACGCAAGAAGTAATTTTGATAGAAAACACAGGTTTATAATTAAAAATTGTAAATTTTTTATTGATTCATAAAGTATACAGTATAGGGTTATGTATGGAATAGCACATTGGGTAAATGGCCTCCACGGCTTTGCTGGCACATACGCAAAGCCGTGGTCTTCATTGGTCTTCATTGTCCCTGCTCCTGGGCCATAATTGGTACTTGGTAATGCTTATCAAATTGAAGGGATTGAAATCAAAGGGCAACAGATATTAGAATCTGATTCAATAAACCAAGTAAAATTAGGCTTTTATTTTTTGTTGTTGTTGTTGTTGTTAATGCTCACGTAAAATTCAAATCTTGCGTGAATTTTGGTACACCCTATATGTCTGTTTCCTTCACCAGGTTAGGGAAGTTTTATGTCATTATTTCTTCAAATAGGTTTTCAATTTCTTTCTCTCTCTCTTCTTTTTCCAGTACCCCCATGATGCAAATGTTGGTATGCTTGAAGTTATCCCAGAGGCTCCTTATATTATCCTCATTTGGGGGAAATCTTTTCTCTTTTTGCTCTTCTGATTGGGTGTTTTTTGCTTCCTTATATTCCAAATTGATGATTTGATTCTCAGCTTCACCTATTCTATTGTTGAATCCCTATAAATTATTTTTTATTTCAGTTAGTGTATCCTTCATATCTGACTGGTTCATTTTTATATGCTATTGAGGTCCTCACTAAGTTCCTTGAGCATCCTTATAACCAGTGTTTTGAGCTCTGCAATTTGTTTAGTTCTTTTTCTGGAGTTTTGTTCTGTTTTTTCATTTGAGCCATGTTTATTTGTCTTCTCATTTTGGCCCCTTCCTGGTGTTTGTTTCTATATATTAGGTAGAACTGCTATGTCTCCTAGTTTATTTGTCTTCTCATTTTGGCCCCTTCCTGGTGTTTTTTTTCTATATATTAGGTAGAACTGCTATGTCTCCTATGCTTGGTATCGTGGGCATAGGGTGCCCAGGCAAGGCCAAGCTGTGAACCAAGGCTGGCTGCTGCTAGTGCTAGGCCTGGGACTACTTAGTGAGAGGTATGGGACTTGCTGAGGCAAGATGATGCTTGTTTAAGAGATTTTAGGAAAATCTGAAGCATGAGCCAAGACAGGCCATTCCTGTGGTAAACCCACTGGAAACAGTTTGGGTGGGCCTGGAAGTTGGTGGGACAGGATCTCGGGGAATCACCAAAGTGGGGCAAACAGTGTGAGCCAGGTTGAGGGAGTCTCAGATATGGCACCTGTCTACAGGCTCCATAGGGGAAGGGCTCATCAAAAGAACAATGGCTTCTGCCAGCACTTCTGTATGGCAGAATGTTGCCCCTCCAGCTCTCACCCTGATGTCAAATAATTTAGTTCCTCCCTGTATGTTTCTGGTGGCTTCAAAGCTGCTGCCCCCATGCTGGAGCTCAGAGGAAGTGAGTCTAAGTTTGTGCATGGGCCCTTTAAAAGGAACTTCCTGGGACTCCAACAGCCTCCATTTCCCTTAGACTCAAACTCTGCTGATTTTTACAACCAGAACTTATGGTGAATTCTCTTCCTGGCACTGAAACCCTGAGCTGGTGGGCCTAGTGTGGTACTCCTCAGGGGGTACCTTAACAGCTGAGATATCCCTCCTGATTTTTATTCACCAAACATGAGTGTGGCACCAGCCTTCTGAGTCTCTGCCCCTCCGACCAGTCCTGATGTGGCTTCTTCTTTAATTTCATAGTGGTAGGACTTGCATTCAGCTCAGTTTCAGGTGGTTCTAAATGATGGTTGTTCTGTAGTTTAGTTGTAATTTTGATGTGATTGTGGGAGGAGGCAAGTACTGCATTTGCCTACACCTCCATCTTGACTCGGTTATTACAATATTATTAACTATATTCCCTATGCTGTGCTTTATATCCCATGACTATTTTGTATCTACCAATTTATATTTCTTAATCCCTTCACATTTTTCACCCAGTCTGCCATTGCCCCCTCCTCTCTGTCAACCATCAGTTTGTTCTCTGTATCTATGAATCTGTTTCTGTTTTGTTGTTCATTTATATTGTTCTTTAAATTCCACATATGAGTGGAATGCTGCCTATGGTTTCTTCTAGGATTTTTATGGTTTCACAACTTACATTTAAGTCTTTT